GTTTCGTTTCATGATGTCGTCTCAGATTACACTCTTTCAATACCGCCACACTTTCTCCACACAGAGGACACACAGGTTTTCCAGCTACTCCATGAACATGTACTCCCACTCTCACCTTGTTTGAAACCCCCGGTTCTCAGTGTCCATCTTCTGTTTTGCCATATTTGATGGGTATCTGCAAGCTAACGTCACTGCTATTCGAACGACTGCTGCACTAATATTGAAATACAGCGGCCACTGCTGGGCGCGTCCCCGTTGCATTGTGGGAAAGGTAGTATTGGTGCGTGTAAAAGATCTGCAGGCTCTCGGCTTGCTGCGGTCCGCGGGCCGGTTCTAACAATAAATCAATATCATCCCAGGGGCCACTGAAAACATTCTCGCGGGCCGGATTTGGCCCGCGGGCCGGCACTTTGACATATGTGACATAAAGGGACGATAATGCCTGCTACGAGTTCGAGCTTTTGCTTAACTGATGAAACCTCGAGTCGATGTCTTCCTTCAACGAACCACACGTGGAGGGTCCAGGGGAAAACAAAACTGGTCATTTCATCTGAAACACATCATGCGGAAAGCCCAGCATGAGAGGACTGTGTTCTGTGCGGTTTCAGCCATGACACTGACCATGTCACACTTTCACCGTCAAACTGGATATCATTGGGACACCGTTTCCACCCACTTGTACAATTTAAGTCTGGTCATTGTGTAATTATTTTTCTTTTCAAAAGTGGTGTGAGCACCAAATACGGAATGCCCTCCATTTTTGGCTCTTGTTGACTGCGTTGCATTCTTCTCGGTTGACATCACTGGCAGGTTACGCTGCATCCCACTGCTATGATTTCACTCAATTTACATAGCTGACACACCCTGTGGCGAAAACATCAACCAGATCAGTTTAATGGCCTACGCTGTACTGTGGCAAGTTGAACAGGCGCACTTGGTGGAAATGTTTTCGTGGAACCGGCCCCCTGATCAACATTTGGCAGCAAGTGATATTGTGGAACTGCAGGCCTGCAAACGGAGCACAATGGGCCTGATTCCCTTAAACATAACACCCCATCGTATTTCAACATAAACACGCATTTATCCACTTCTTTAACACGCTGCCAAGATTGCCTCCTATACCACAGAGAGGTCTGTCATGTGTTTCGCTCTGGTTTTAAAAAAAAAAAGAAAAAAAATTGATCTGCAGACAGATTTTACGGTGCCCTGTTTCGAAAGACCAGTTCAAAATACGTATTTCTATCAATTTTCCATCATCAAAACATTTGGGACAAGATGGATCCATTTTACGTTCCAGCACGTGGCCATATTGTGCATTTAGAGTGTTTATGCTAATACGCACGGTCTAACTGCGGCATGTTATATGTGATACACAATACGGGGTAGTCAATCTATGTACTTCTTCATCACTGCCAAGTCCAAAGTGAAACATTATTGATTATGTGACACCCACAAATGATGGATGACAAGGCTGACTCTCCCAATGGGCGACTGGGTTCACGTATCCATCAGCCCGTGTCACTGTTTTATTTCACCTGAAAGGAAGTGGGGGTTGTTGAAATGGTGCCTCCACCAAGAGTGTTTGAATTAAGAGAGAGCGTGTGTGTGTGTGTGTGTGTGTGTGTGTGTGTGTGTGTGTGTGTGTGTGTGTGTGTGTGCGCGCGCGCGCGCGCGCGCGCGCGCGCATGCATTCCTGGCTGTTCAGTGTTTGGAAACGGACCTCCCAGGGGAGACTTCCATTCCCCATAACAAAATTCCCCAGATTTTTGGCAGCCATTTGTGTGTGGTCGGCCATAACTTGTCATGTGATCTTGCCTCACCTTGACATTAACCCGCCCCCCCAACCCCCCAGCCCCAAAGCACTTCCTGACCATGATGTCTGTCGGGTAGAAAGGGCGTCTCCATCCCATATGGCTTCGATTTGAGGAGGGAGTCGTTTTCTCGCTCTGAGGTTCGATTTCTCTGCTGTTTTTTTTCCCTGAGAAGGATCTTGTCATAGTCAGCATATTTTATGCGTTATTTGTTTTTCTCTCAGTTGCTATGGATTATGTCATGTTACCAACTGAAGTGCATTCCTTTGTATGTACATTGTTATTTTTGGAACTCAGGAATGGGCTCCTCCCTAAAGTGAAGAAGACTTTCCACTATTCGTTGTTCGTGAAAAATATCTGATGCTGGCTGATTTTCTTTTTCTTTCCTGTTGACGCTCAGTCTATAATTGGCTGATCCTGAAATACCTTCAGCAGTAACCTAAGGTCTTTGCCTCATTTGGCGGCTTGTTCTTCTTTTTCTAACGTGTTGTGTGTCGCACGTTAGCTGTTGAGAATTTGACTAAAATTCCCAACCAATGGACACACTCACAAACCGATTTGAGAAATCTTGTATGATGATACTCACATTTCCAGAAGAACAATGCCGCTTCATAAAGAAGATCTCAGTCTGCTTCTTTGGCGTGCATCCAATGATTGCATTCTAACTTGACCAATGAACCGCAGAGAAACTGCACCATTTTTTTTTCTTTTTTACACACCTGGAAAGAGGTTGTGACATGCGAACCTACAGTCGATTCGTGCGTTTAATCCATCTCTTCATTTCTCTTTCTTTCAGGTTCTCCATACTACGACAATGTGAGGCCTCTCTCGTATCCAGACTCAGACGCGGTGCTCCTGTGCTTTGACATCAGTCGCCCCGAAACCCTCGACAGCGTTCTGAAGAAGGTCAGTTGTCTTTAATGAATATATCTCTTCATTAAGCCCCTCTATGTGTGTCTACAATACAGGCGTTGGTTGTGTTTGATCCGCCGGCAAGAAGCCCGTCTGATATTTTTTCCGGATCAAAAGTCTGAAATCAGTCAAGCTGTCAGCGCGCCGTGTGACATTTTGGTTGACGTAGCTGAAAGCACGTGACACATTTCCACAAATGTGATATGGAACTGTGGAGTGGCTGTGGGTTTTTTATCTGCTGATTGTGGGTTTTCAAGCTGATTTCCACATGCTACGGTGTATAAATATCAGTCATCACACCGGTGGAATGTCTGTTTCCCAGAAACGGCTCAGTTCAAAAAATGCAAAGGGATTTTCCACAAAATAACAACATATTACTACATGACTTTTGCACAATACTCGCCAATTACGCCCTGTTTGTTGTTGCATCTACGGTACTGCGGCGAGTTGAACTGGCCTGCTTGGTGGAAATGTTTTCATAGAACCGGCCCCCTGGATCAACGTTTGGCCATGAGTGATATTGTGGAACACAGGCCTGCACCCGACCACAATGGGCCTGATGCACAATACTCGCCAAAAGGCCCTGTTTGTCGTTGCCGTTCCAATAAAAGTTACAAGGTGGAGTTTTTGGCACAAAGTACCGAACAATGTACTGGAACATTTATTTATTTATTTATTTTATCACATTTGTTCTGCATTAAATTTTTCCTTATCATGTACCAGACTCAGAAGGGAGGGGAGATTGTAAACCCTTCCAAAGTAAAATTGAAAAAGACCCAAGGCTACTTCCACCTCTTTATCACCCGTGCAAAGGATTAGAAACAACTTTTGTCAAATTTGCAGAATGCGTCTGCTACAGAAGTAGTCCAAGTGTCAGGTGACCTGCGTGTTGCAGTAGAGTCATTGTGCAATACGATTACCCTTTTATATCCGATGAACTTGATCCCCTGACTATATCGTCTCAGATTGAAGCCCTAAGAGATCCATCACAAAGCGTCCGTTGTTGGCAGGAAGGAAACATCGAGATTATTTGTAGCGCTCTCCCCTGCCCCCTCCACCCCAGGGTTCAAAGCCTTTGTGGCACGAGGAAGTTGCAGTCCTGACCTTTGTACCTCAAAATCCAGCTAGAAATCAAGAAGACCCAGCAGATGTTTCTTATATTCCAGCATCAGTTCCGTGTCCTTCATTTGAGACTTTGTTTATTTCCCCACAGTGGAAGGGGGAGATCCTGGAGTTTTGTCCCAACACTAAGATGCTGTTGGTTGGCTGTAAGTCAGACCTACGCACTGACCTGAACACACTAGTCGAGCTCTCGAACCACCGGCAGACCCCCGTGTCTTATGACCAGGTACGCCAAAGTTTCAAATAATGCTTTTCGTGCCGTGCCTTTAAAATGGAAGAGCAAAACCGCTCCCCATCCATCATTGACCATACGCTCTCCTCCACAGGGCTCCAGCATGGCCAAGCAGATCTCTGCGCCCTACATCGAGTGCTCGGCTCAGCAATCAGAGAACAGTGTGCGGGACATTTTCCACGTGGCCACCCTGGCCTGCGTCAACAAAAATGGCAAAAATGTCAAGCGCAGCAAGACCGCCCGCGCCACTAAGAGGATTTCACACATGCCTGGCAGACCCGACCTAGCAGCTGTAGCCTCAGACCTCCGCAAGGACAAGGCCAGAAGTTGCTCTGTCATGTGACTGATCAAACTGAGGGGAAATAGACTGACGGGATGGGGGACTGAGCATGGAGCAAGCAGGAAGCTACGGGGAACGCCTCTTTCCTGTGGGAGAAAGACCAGTTTTGTGCCTGGAAAGGAGCATTATAAGATTCAATTCATGTACAAGTTCCCGGAACACGCTGCACCAATGACAAGTCAAAGTCGCGTCCCGCTCTGCACGGCCCCCTCCCGGGCTGTCGAGGAAGTTATCGGTCAGCGCGCTACCTGCTCGGGAAGTGGGTTACTTCCTGCTTCCTGCAGGAGAACAAAGCGGATGCAGGCCACGCCCACAGGAGCTAAATTAGAAAAGTGATGTCATTGGAACGCTCAGAAGAACGTGTGACATCGTGATGATGGCTACTGTTGGGTGGGGTCGCCACTAAAAATGGCAAAGAATTGCTGATGTGGTTGGCGCTGGGCTTCAGAGCAACACATTGTCAATTCGCGGCAGCGCGGCACAATGAAGATGCTGTTCGTCCCGTCTGCGATATGTTGTCTAATGTGAAGTCATTGGTGTAGAACAGCATCACTTTCCCATGATGGGGTTGTTCTGGAAATTGCATGTCTCCACTAGGGTTGGGTGGTCGAAGAAATGTTTGGTAAAATGAAGAGTCGATTAGTGATCAATTTCAAATTTTGATTTATTTCATATTCGTTTTAAATGGCCAAGGGAAAAATGCTAAAGGAGGCATGTTTTCCAAATGGTCTGAAATTAGAAATCATATAATGTTCCAACAATTTTTATTACTCAACTCAACATGACCCCAGGGGGGTCAAACTAATTCTTGCCGCGGGCCACATCATAGTTATGAAGTTGTCCATTATGACTGTGAAACCCATATCAATGTATGATTGCCTTATGTTATCACACAGGCACAACACATTGATTGATAACTAGTTTTGAAATCAGAAAATTTAACAAAGTAGAGCCACTCACTGAGACTATGAAGTAAATTTTCTCACTTTTACGCCCCTCAGCCTCAGGATTTTTTGAGAGCAACTTAGTGGCAACTGCAATCTCCCAATATGCCAAAGATAAGGGGATGCTCCAGCCTACAGGGTCCATTCATCTTTCCATCCCCCATACACCAGTCTTTTCTGTCAGCAGATATTTACCACACCATTCGTTATGTGTTAGTCCTACACCAAACTTGGCCATCTTGCTGTTGACTTTTTTTTTTTTTTTTTTTTTTTTTAAGGTTTTGTTGGCAGCCTATTTGACAGCTGACTAGTTGGATTTCGAAGCTGCCAAATTGGGAAATCCATAAGTTAAGTCTCAATTGCCTCAAGAACAAAAACAAATATATTAAATTACAGCCCTGTGTCAAGGTCTAGCAAAATATGCAATGATTCTTTTAAAACAGAGGGTGGTATATATATTCATGGTGTGTGTGGACTGTGGTCAGTCATCGCCAAGCCAACCTTGTAAAAGACAAATACCATTTAGCCTACAAGTCCCAATCAAGAAGGTGTTTTTGTTGTTGTTGTTTTTTACTATACTAACAATTAACATTGGCAATGTCGTTTGCGGTCAGTAGCAATGCATTAAGTGGCTCTTTGACGACAGTTGACCAAAGAGGCATCTTTTATGGAAGGCTATGTCTCTTGGTTGCTAGCTTAGCCAATTGATTTCAGTTTTCCATGTGCTACTAGCCACTGGTGTATATTAAGATGATCTTACTATAAAGTCATCAAGGGTTGACTTCCCACCTCCAGAAGAGAGCAGCTAGTGCTAATGTTGCCTTAATGTACAGCGCTGTTAGCATCTTAGTTTGGTTATTAGTCAAGGTAACAAAACTAAGATTTGTTCTTGCGTCTTAGTTTTTATTTGCGCCCAAAGACACCCTGCTGTACATGTTTTAATCTGCGTCATCAGGGTCGACGTTAAAACATGTCAACGGGTTGACGCCCAGTTTTGAAGCCATGCAATTTAACTGTTTGGGAAAAAAAATCCACAGGTAATAACGTATTTGTGACTTAAGTTGTCAAAATGTCTCAAGTTAATGTCAGTGCTGTGAGCCAAATTTTTGGTTTCATGTTGTGTCCTGCCTGCGTGCTTTTTCATGTTTTCTCAAATGCTGACGTCACCTTGCCGATGTTGTTGCCACAATATTTATTGAATTGTATATTTTCCTTTTAAAATAAAATTAAATTGAAGATGAAAGCAAGTGTTGTTGGTTCTGTGGTTGAAGTTCTCTTGGGTCTCTCTTTTTTGTTTTTTTTTTTTGTTTTTGGTGGGGGGGGGCTTCAGGCACACCTGTCTTTCATTTGAAGCAAACAGGATGTTGAAGATTACAATTAACTGTGAAAACAAACTTGCATGCGCTTCGGGAAAAAAGCTGCTCAGTGAATTTTTGGCTCATGAAATCACTTTTTCCAAGGGTGATGTGAAATTTGACAGCCTCGTTCACTCACTGAATTATTTATAAAACCCAGAACCAACCAAATTTTTTGCAAATCTGTGATTCTGCACTACAGAGTAGTGTACTCCTGTACTTGAAACTTCCCTCACCACTACCATCAAGTTTCCTCCAGGCTAAGAATGTTGTTGGAACATGGCAGTTTTCATGATTTTGCCTCTGTGCACTAGCACAGAGGATTTGAAATAAACCAAGTGGGATTGACAGTATTTGGACAACCGATGTAAATCGAAAATCATAATTTCAATCTTGATGTCTGGAGCCCATGGGCATCACCGGATTGTGAGTTTCCTCCACAGAAACGCTTTGACAAATTCAAGCTACTGTCTTTTCCAAAGGAGATTTTTCTGCACTTCACTAGCATTTTGTTGGACATCAAATCCACTCGTGGCATATAAAAACAAAAATTTATGTTTACAGTGGTGTCCAAGGGTGTGTTGATGCCAACTACAGTATGTTGCTGATGCCCTATGTGTGGACTTTTATTCATCAGAAAGTAACCATAAACAGTGGGGGAAACATACGCCACCTACCTCGTTTGTATGCACCCCTTAAGGTTGGGGCCTCGGACTACAATACAATACAATACTGTACATCTTTATTAATATATCACACTTTCACCACAGCTGCAGCTGTAACAAGGCGCAAAAATTAATACAATGTAACATAGTTACAGCTGCAGCTGTTGTCAAAGCGCGATATAAATCAGAATGTATTGTATTGTATTGTATAGAACATCAACAATAATACAGTTGTTACAGCTATGAGGACACTTTGATCCTCTCCTCTTTCATCTATAACTGCTTCATACAACAAAGAGGATGCAGAAAAGTGGTTAAGATTGCACGACTGTCTGTGTCTTATGTTATTGTCAAGTCAAGTCAAGTCAAATATAACTTTATTGTCAAATGTGCTGTATGTGCAACATACAATGCAACATTGTGTTGTATTACTTTGTTATTTTGACTTCAAGCTGGCGCCGCGAGAGTGGCTGCCTTTACAGCAGCTCATATATTTTGTTCTTCTAAGATAAGATAAGATAAGATAAATCTTTATTTGTCCCACACTGGGGAAATTTACAGTCTACAGCAGCAAAATTGTGGGTAGAAAGAAGAAAGAAGAAAAACAAAGTGTTTGCATTCACAAAATAAATGTTTCGGTTTCAATGTACACAGTTCAATTAAGTGCAATATAAATATAGATATAGATAAGTTGGCTGTTCTACTGTGGAAATGGAAGTTCTACTTCTTCCTTTCATAACTTTGCTGCTGTGAATAGGGAATTTCTCCATTGTGAGACTAATAAAGGTTTTCTTATCTTATCTTATTCCTACAAACGCTGTGTTGTTTGGAGCGGTGGTGGATAAAAGAAGAGAGAATCAGTTTCCTTTCATCAGCGGTTCAGAGACGTCATGATCACAGCATGCGTGACATCACCCATGTCTGGTGCGAGTGCATTGGACGAGTGGTTAGCATGTCTGCTGTGAGAGTCTAAAGTTTAGTGTTCGGAGCTCAACTCTGGCATTCCTCTGTGGAGTTTTCATGTTGTCTTCATGCTTGTGTGGGCTTTCTTCTGGTACTCTGGCTTGCTCTCCCGCATTGCAAGTTATTGCTTTATTGTTTGTTCTTGTATTAATTATTTTTGCTCTTTAAAGGCAGGCTTGAATTTCTATTTTCCCCGCCCGCACGACCCTCCCAAAACATTTCAAGGGGAATCAATTATTTACAGATTTTTGCTATTCACAGGCCGACCCAGTCTCTATGCCCCACGTATAGCGGGGTTCCACTGTATAGCTTTAAGTTGTACCTACAACATTCACCACTAGATGGCAGATATGACTTAGTTGGCACTTGCACCGGGTCTTGTAGTTCCCTAGACTACAATGTGAGAAGGCCTAAGAATTTTTTTGCAGATTTGGAATGACATGCAAGGCAAACATAGTACCTCAATAATATTAGGTTGGTAGGTTTCAGGGGTTCTTCTTTTTCCCTTTTATGCAGTTTTTGAGTTATTGTTTGCCCTCTGGAGGAGTTTAGATGAGGGGAGGTCTTTAAGACTGTATTTGTTTATTGTGGGCCTGTAAAGCCCTTTCAGACTGTTTTGTAATTCAGGTCCATATAAATCAATTAGAGTTGGCTCAAAGAATATAAAAAGTAACCTAATTTGCACAAAATGGGTTTTTGCTCTTAATTTTGTTTTGCCATTCAGCAGTTTTGTGGCACCCTTGAATTAATTTTTCTGAGAGAGCTCTTTGCACTGGAGGGGGAAAAAAATCACAGTATGTGGTTATTTTGTTGATCGCTTCAAAACTTTTTTTGTTGAATGTTGGATCTTTAAACATGCATTGAGAAAACTTATTATGAAAAATGAAATATTGTAAGTGCCCTGCACATGTAGGCATGTATTTTGTCCCAAATTACAATGGCATTTTTGTCATACATGTAGCTAGGAAGTATGTGGTCCTATATGGCCCTCACAGAAGCACCAATGAAAAATTGTGCCCCTCCCCTACTCCCCATCATTTAAATCCACGTACGAGTTGATGGAGCCATGATAATGTTATCACTCGTAAACCAGTTCATACCAACAACACACGTTTTGTGCGTGTATGAAATATATTGCACATTGTGTAAGTTTCCTCAAGTTTATCTTCATTTAATTAAAAGGGGAAATTCTGCAAATTGTTACAACCAAACAGCTAGAAACATACATACAAGCATTCCGTCAACATTCTATTGTGGGTAGAATGAGCTCATGGCCAAGCCGTCTGCCGCTTCACTTATTCACTTCAAAGTTATTCTCATTGTTGTTACCCTATTTTACAGCTGTGCATGACTGATTGCGTGAGGCGTGAGAAGGAGATGGGCTTAGGAGGCGGAGATGACAGCACACCACCAGTTTGGACCTATTGATCCAAGCATTCCATCCCAGCTGCTCCTGAAGGGAAATAACATAATGGGATGGGGGGGGATGTGTGCGGATATGAAAGCAGTGACCTCAACAGCTCACTTGAGTTCTCTATCACACTTTGGCTGTTTAATGGCAGCACTCCATCATAGTGCTGAATGCTTATTGTAGTGTCACTTGTATCACATTGGCCCATCTAAATTCCTTTTTTTTCTCAATCACTATTGATTAGCAGCTTGTTCAATTGGTGAAAAACAATCTCTCGCTCTCACATTTTCAAGGACTTGACAATAGCACTCCCAACAAAAGAAGAACATACTGGATGTCATCAAGTCAAATTACAGAGTGCCTTATAGTATGATTTTTTTTGGTTGTTTGTTTTGGGGTTGTTTTTTTTTACAGCTGTGTTACAATTAAAACGGGGGTTTAAGAGGAAGTTAAGAGTAGACTGTATTTTTTTATTGTATTCAAATTGACTGTTCGGAATGTTACTTTAGTGTTGCCTGTTTTGGCAAAAAGTTTTATGATGACCCTGGGACAGGTTATTTCTACAGCCACGGCCACATCAGATTTTTTTTTTTATTCTTACAAATTACTAATACTATTAATACAACGATTAGATTTTTGCTATTTCACCACTTAAGTCTAAAGTGGTTAAATATGCTCCCTCACCCAATTTTTTATTTTTATTTTTTTATCCAGAGTCGGTGATGAAAACTAGTCTCTATATTAACCTCAGCCAGTGTCACTCACACCATGTGATGTCTGTCTGTCGACTTAACACCTGACCTCCGATGACCACCGCCCTCCCCCCCTCCCCCCTCCTGGGAGCAGCTGGACATCACAAGACCACATGCAGCACATTTGCAACCAGGATATTGGTTCATTTGTCTTGGTAACACGCTAACTGTAGACCCACTAAAGTGCAGCTCACCCGAGGATGAGTTTGAGACGAAGAGGGTTGAGCTCATGTGCTCTGCTTTAGCTTATTACAGTATCTGGGTCAGGCGAGAAGTCATTCGAACCCAGCCGCAGAGTGCAGGTTGAACGATAGCAGTCAGTGTACAGCAGACATCTGACAAGATTTTAAAATACACAGATATATCTGTTAAAACAAGTGAGGGCAGCATTCGACATATTTCACAAATATGAATCTCTTCATTTGTATAATATTTGTAAGCAAAGTTGGCAAATAAGTGATTTTTTTTTTGTTCACGCATCATAATCTGGTAATCTGGAACCTCACCTCCATCCAAATAAATGAATATTGTCTGAAGAACAATACTGTAAAACAATAACAGCAACTAGACTGTCAACAATGAATTGCACACAAACAACTACAACATACAAGAACCTCTCTACTGGTCCCATTTGAGTATTTCTATGTCCACACGTTACAAAACAACGAATTGAACTACGGGAACCCCGGCTTTAATGCATGTTTAATAGTCAAAACAAAAAAAGTCAAAATGTTGTAATAAGTGATAAAAGTTCATGTGTGCCACTTTTCTGAGCATTTTACATTTTTGAGGCTGCACTCAGGGTGGAGTAAGTTTGGGATGTTCTACATATTGCAAAACTAGCTCATGGGTTTTTTATGAAGGAGGGGGAAGTAAGGGCAGGAGGCTTAAAGGGCCAGTGAACTGCCTCTACTGTCGCCAGCTAACACAACACGTACTGGTGTTTAAGGTAAATTTTCAGCATTTGGTAGGAAATCTGTTGTTGATGTAAGGTATAGACAAAACAAAGAAAAATCCACCTAATGCAGTCGTGTATAGTCTCTCACATTCCTTTGTCCGCCCACCTGACAAACTTCGAAATCTCAGGCCTCGTGTATGTGGTGAGATCACTGCCTGAAGTGTCAGCTTTCAGTTTCGGGGGAACTGCTTGCATGCTGCTTTATGGATGTGGGTTTTTTTTCTGTGCAGCTCTTGTTCTTGATCATATTTGAGGAAGTACGTGTATATTCTTAGATTCGGATTGAAAGTTTGCCATGATACGACAACAATCCCAAGGATTGAGATCTCATAAAGTACAAGGTAAAAGGCATCACTCAATACTGGCTGTATTCCAGCAAGACGTTCATTCAAAATGGCTGTGCGTGATGATAAAAGATGATTTGCGAGACTTTTGTTGCCGCAAGGAGACGACCAACCCTCATTTCTGTCGCCGCGTTGTGACAGGGCAAGTGAGTGACGGCGCTTAATAAATAAGCTGCAACTGAGCAATCATGACAGTAGGCCCGTGTGATCTGGGAAAATGAAGAACATTTCCGGTTAAAGGGAAAAGTCTGAGCCAAACTGCAAATGAACTTCATCATCCAGCACAGGGGACTCTACACCAGTTTCTTGCCATAATGGAAATCTGTCTTCTCAAACCGACATGGACACCGACAACTGACATGGGTAGTAGCGATGTGTGATTTTGACTGTGAGTAAGTCTGTGTCTTGACGCAGCATTCACCTCATGCCTACACAAACCAGATCAGGCTTTATTGTTCTTCTCTATGCGGTGGCAAGCTGAACTGAAAGCGTATCACTTGGTGGAAATGTGGCTTAAAAAGCCCTCATTGAATTCCAAAGACATTCCCATCAGGCACCACTCAGCGCATTTTCTTCAAGAAATGAGAGCAGAGCAGGCAAAGCGGGCCTCTCTCGCCCATTTTGATTAGCATGAATCAGCTTAAGATGTCAAGCCAACCACCCGTAGCCACCAGGAAACACACCCTAACACTTCCCCCCACTCCTTCTCCCCTGCTCTCCTGGAGTGTTGCTGAATCCCTGCTGTGCATTTTGTTTTGCTTCAACGGTGGCTCCATTTCATCTCATGTTGTGAGAGGAGTGCGGGAGGAGACTTCTCATGGCTGTCTTTCTGCTTGTTTTCCTTCAATGAGCCCGCCGGTCTGCTTAAGAAGTCATTAGAAATCCACCATGGGAAATCAAGTCCCTCCAATCCCAAACCCATTTTGCAGTCAACCGAGGGAGGGGTCTCTAACTTCAAATCCAGTTGTTGTACAGCCAAAAGCAATTAGAACCATAAGGGAGGTTATGGATGACTCCAGGTCCTGCAAGGTGGGCCCCCCAAAAAACGAAAGTCAATTAAAATGAGGGCGAAGCGGTTACTCGGCTATCGATCTACAGATTTCAAAGGGAGCACGCGGGACTGTTCCAACCATCGGGAACATTGTAGAATAACAAGGCTAAAATTCCCAACGGGTGTTCCTGAGCATCTTGTCTCATCCCGTTCGGAAGCGGCCAAAAAATCATTTGGAGGTCATACTTTAGATTTTTACCTTGAGGAAACAGAAACTCAAGTGTATAACACTCATCCTGTCCACAATCTCTGTCAGGTTCAGACCGAACCGAATAATATTTTTGGATTCCAAAAATGCAGGCTCAGACAAAGTGCGATAAAAAGTATTTCTTGAAGAAAACTGCACCGGCAAAGTCTAAACTGAAATCGCTGGTCACAAGGTGCCAGGAAAAACAATGCATGAAACAAAAAGCACTTGCAAAGGTAAGGTTCAATAGAACACAGAGAACACACAAACAAAATATCAAAAATCCAATAACATGAAAACAGTGATCCAGAGCAATAATTGAATAACAAAAATACTTACATTTGAGGATCTATGAACAAAACGAGAGCAACTAAGAATAATATCGAGAGGTCTAGAAAATAACACTTCAAGCACAACAGCCAGCACGGTCAATAATCTGACGCCAACTTGGCGCTTGCGAAGTCCTTCCATACATGGCTGAACTTGATGATCAAATTGGCAGCAGGTGTGCACGCTGGGGGAAAAGGCCTCCCCTGCCACCTGCGGGAGACACACAAGAACGGGCTCATGACAGTCTCACAGCTGCAAAATAATTCCAAATCCCTTTAGGGCATTTCTAAAAAATGCATGGGATTACCTACTCAATATGTTGTCATGCTCCAAAAAACTCCATTGGTTTCTTCCAGCACCAATGTGGGGTGAGCACGCCAACGCTCGTCTCGTAAGGAACATTCTGGATACTGACGCCAACATGATTTAAAATGGACATATTCCATTACAGTGACTTCTCATTGGTTGTATATAAATAGATGGGTCTCTGGAATGACTACCAATATGCATCAAGTGGGGAATTACAACAAAAATAATCCTTATGAGCTGCATATATTTTTTTTTAAATGTGTCTGTAAGCGAGGTGTTCTGAATTTTTTCAAAAGATAACACAACAGTGTGACTGCCCCACTCGGCAGCATGGTTTGGGCAAAAATCTGCCATTTTCAAGTAAGAAAAAGAGGAAGCAAAGATTAGCGTTAGCTAACGGCATTGACAGCCTTCGCTTCAGATCACCAGCATTTCAATTCTGAGTGCAATTTTTGTTGTGAGGCTAGGGGGTAATTGGCAAGTGTAATTTGACAACTTGTTGAAGAAGTGCTGCCTCCATGAGTGAAAATACAAATGAGATTTCTCGTCAACGTCAAAGGTATACGGGCTGTGCAGTAGAGGGCAGCAGTGATACGGAGCCACCACCAGTCGCCCCGGGTTCAACTAGATTTTGACAAATGAATGTTAAATGTGCTCTAATTCTTTATCCTCTGGCTGACAAATCTCAGCTAGTTTTATTAAGACACCTGGAAAATATGTCTCCTTCGACACGGTCACTGGTCACAACATCTGGTAAGTTTGGATAATGTTTATGTGCTGATGTCAATTTTTCTTTTGCTGCTTTTCTTCATTAAATTTGGGGATTTTTTTTTTTTTTTTTTTTTTAAAGAAGGTGCATTTAACTCCACTTTGCTTTGAGGATTACAATATTATGCTTATTGCTGGGGAAAATTTTACATTGCCCAAAAATGGAGTTCATAAGTATGGTGATATTTGACTCAACTTGTGAAAAGCACTAAAAGCCTCAAAAAGCACAAGTTCACATTGAAATATTGATAGATTAATCTTAAAGACTGGACTTGAATCTTGCATTCCTTTTCCTCCTGTCGCTTTCTGGCCTCGGGTTGTCACTCACACCGGCATGCTTCAAGGGCAAAAAACAGTCAGGAAATGGAATATGCGGCGAGGTCAGTCTTGCTGAACATCCTGGAGGGTCTATCCTGAAATTAATCTGATTAGGTACCTTGTCATCTCTCCTGTCTTTTATTATTCATTTTTAGAGTGTTTTTCCGAAGTATTTAAATCAGAAAAAAAAAACAGTTCTGTTCAATGTTTCTTGTAATTTACGTCAATTGGGTAACTTCTCATGCTTCAACCTAGATTCCAAACGCATCCAGCAACATGTTCTACTGCCTACTTTTCTGTGCCAACTGTAAATAAGTAACTGGTTAAAGTATACCTCTGACGGCCCATTTCGAGGTATTGATGGGGACGGATGATAAATATCGGGCGGTCATATCTTTGTGTCTACCCTTGTATTTGCCAAAACAGTGCCCCCCCTGGTTAATTTTAATGCAGGGCGATTCATAAAGTGGTGTAACGTATGTTCTTTTTCTGTCAAGCGATGAAGATAGAAATGTGGTGACTATCTGCGCTGCTTGACAGAAAATACAGTTGTATACAGTCACATTACAGTTTGTTATTCTTAATCAAGCGTTTACTGTTAATTTACATCCGGTGATGAATATCTAATGGTATTTTACGTAAAAAAAAAATACAGTAAGATATTGTTCTATCATCGGAACTTTACAGCAATCCGTACTTTTATACTGTTAAATGACAGTGATCTAATGTTCTTGTTAACTGACTGATTAACTGTTTAATTTACATGCAATGGATGAGTAGTTAACTGTATTTTATAGTTTTGTTTTTTTTTTTAAACAGTAAGATACTGTCATAAATTCACAGTAAATTTACAGAAATCCGTTCCAATGCAGCTATCCATCCAACACTTGTCCTCATTAAGCCGATTCCAGATGTGACCTTGCGTGAGGGGCAGGGGTGCACCGTGGACTAGTCTCCGGTCCGTAGACAGATAAAGACAAACAAGCAGGAGACATCGATGGACAATTGTGAAACTTCAAAGAATCGGAGAAGCATCTTTTTGGAATGCACACTTCACATGATCTGATATTCACCATACTAGAGTAACCTACTACTGTGCTGCCATATTTGTAAGGCTATATGTCAAAGCATTTATTTTGGAAGGAAAGATTTACCCCATAGACAGAAAAATAAAATAAGAGTTTGTTGTGTGAGTTTATCATTTCATTTATTTTAGTTTTATTTTTTAGTAAAGGACTTCAAAGTTCGATGACTGAGTAAAGGCAAGGCAAGGCAGCTTTATTTATGTAGTGCATTTCATGCACAAGGTAAGTCACTATGCTTCACATAATTAAAAGTGCAACATTTAAAAGCATTTGCAATTAAAAAAAACACTTTCCCCCCCCATCAGAGTTCAGAATTTCTTTTATCATGTTTCATCCATCCATTTTCTGATCCACTTATCCTCACAAGGATCATGGGGCATGCTGGAGTCTATCCGAGCCGTCTTCGGGCAGGAGGCGGGGGACACCCTGAACTGCTTGCCAGCCAATTGCAAGGCACACATAGACAAAAAAACATCCACGCTTATACCTAAAGGACAATTTAGAGTGTTCCATTAACCTGCCATGCATGTTCCTGGAACTGGAGTACCCGGAGAAAACCCACGCAGACACGGGGACAACATGCAAACTCCACACAGGAAGGCTGGAGCAGGAATCGAACCCTGCACCTCTGCACAGCCGAGGCATACGTGCTAACCAGTCGGCCGTCGGGCCACCCTATCATGTTTCATTTTTCTTTATATAAAAAAAAAAAAATGGCATCAAACATGATGCTGACTTTTCATATCCACGTTACCTCGGCAAATCTTGCATTAGATCCTTTGACATCAGTCGGGCTCTTTCAAGCGCTCTTCATGCCAAGTGGTCACATAAATCCCAGTACATTTGCACAATACAGAAGCTCCTTCGTAATGGCTAAGAAGTACAATCACACGACATATGAATAATGGTCTGAGAGGGCAGTTGTAAGAAGAGATGATGCATTCTGTTCGATAAACTCTACTCATGTTGACCAGGATATGCGTCAGCATCAGCCTACCTGCGCCATGTCTTTATATCGGCAAAGACATGACAATGCCGGTTTTTGTAAACTTTCCAAAATGTGTGCTCACTTGTAATAAAACGCAAGTAGTAAAACGGGCAGCACAGCAGCAACAACTTGACTCCACGAAACATGACAGCGAGTTGTTGTGGCACCGCTTGGACAAATCTGAGACAATTGTTCCACACCGGTGGAGACCCAGATCTGTCACATCTATGTTTCTATTTTTTGGAGAACGCTTATCTTTTCAAATTTCATGGCTGCAGCACTGTCCTCATGCGGCTGAGCATTTTTCCTCTGTGAAAGATTTCCTTGTCAGGTTGTGTAAAGATGACATTTTCGGCCCCGTTTGCAAGCACTCAAACACGCAAACGTGTAGTATCACTTGTATATGCCTTTCGGATATCACCATAATGGGAGGAGGTGGGACATTTTCTTTGTCGTGGCTTATCTGATTTCAGTAATTTTTAAAACACTTTTTTCTAATATCTGATTCATTTATCTGATCCAGACTGTAACAGTGGACGAGTGGTTAGCACGATTGTCTCATAGGTTTGAGGTTCTGAGCTGCAGCCTTGCGTGGAATTGATATGCTTTGTGATTTTCTTCCTCGCACAACCCAGAAATGTGTATGGAAGGTTAATTGAGGAATTTCAATTGTACAAAGGGGTGAATGTGAGTGTGAATGGTCATTTGGCTCTAATTGCCTTGTGATAGGTTGGGAACTGATCCCGAGTGTAACCAACCTCTCTCCTCAATTTCAGCTGCTACAGGCTCTGGCTCACATGGGCCCCAAATGAGGATGAGCAGTACAGAAAAAAGATGGATGGTCATCGATATCTCTGACACACAGTGAAGTCCAAAATCATCTATACCCTGGCCAACATTGAATTCAACCTTTTTTTTTTTTTAAATTTAGTGAATTAGTATCTTTTGGCTTTATAGTACACCAGAAAGTGGCTGAAATACTTATTAAGAAATGCTAAATAAAATAAAATAAATGCTGTTTGTTATTCAATCAATATCAATTTCAATTGAAAATTGTGAGTATTTTTTTTTTCTTTTCTGAATAGCATGCACCTTTGCGGATGAGGGTCTGACTATTTCCGTCAGTATTGATGGAAAGAGACAAAGAGAAAAAAATGTGGTACGCTTGCTGCTGGCATAGCCACGTATCATTTGCACAACTTGGCCAAACCTGCCCTTGCCCTGTTCGCATCAGAGCAGTGAGTGCTGCATTGTGGGAAATTGTGGTCTTTACAAATTCTCAAGGCTGCCTTGGAATTCATTAAATAATTTGCATCTCACCTACTTTGCTAGC